AGAAATGTGGTGGAGATGACGACAGGAGGAAGTAGAGCTAAGAGAGGGGTGCTTGCTTTTGTTTTCGTCTTAAAAAAATTTTTGTTTTTTAGAGACAAGATCTCCAGACTGGAGTTCAGTGGCGCTCTTGGGAAGTGGGCAGTTTACTCATAGTAACAGATTGGAAGGCAGAATACATGGCAAAGAACCAGCTCCCAGTAAAAGAAGTGGTAATCCATCTGTGCAGAATTTGAGAGGGGATTTGAGGGTCTTCATTATTCAGGCCTTCTGCTTTCCATCCCATCTTTCCTCAGTTATAGGAGAGCTATGGGAAATGGATTTTCAGAAAATCCTAAGATAAATGAGCTTAAAGTTTCTTTACTGCAGTTCTTTGGTCTTTAGTAATGTGTGCACTGTGGCACTGTAAGGAGACAGAATTTCTTAAAATTATTTGACCACAGATCTGTTTTTTCAGATAGATCATATCTCAGATGAATAGAACCGAGTTGGGAAAGACTAACCTGCTTCATTTTACCTTATCTAGATTGCTGAGTTGGCCAGGGCTCTTGTTTGCCAGAGCAGAAAACCCGACTCAAACTGATTTCAGTTGCAGAGGGAATTCACTGGCTCGCATGACTGGGTAGAGCAAGACTGCATTTGGCTTCAGGCATTGGTTGGATCCAGATGCTCAAATAATGTCAGTTTGGCTCTTTATCTTTCTAGCTCTTATCAGGCTTCATTCCTTAGGTAGGTCTCCTCCCTGTGGCATGCAAGATGGTATCCCCAACTGGACATCCTCCCAGTGTAGCCACTTCAGTGAAAAGAAAAGCCATCTCTTCTGTTAGCTCTGACTTAGAAGTTCCTGCAGTGATTCTGATTGACTGGGCTTGTCATGACTGACCCTGAACTGATCACTGTGACCAGGAGGATGAGTCACACTGGCAGGCTTGGGGCATGAGTCGTATCCCTGTGTCTAGTGAAGGGACATCTGTGATTGACAGTTCCACCATGACCACGTGATATGCATGTTAACTATAATTTAACCAGTCCTTTATTGATTGGCATTTGTGTTATTCCTAATCTTTTGTTCTTACTGGCAGTGTAAAAGCTGGCTGAGATTTGAAAACAGGGTTTTCTGATTCATAGTGCATAATTTGTCATAGCTGTAAAGAATGCATTACAGAGTAAAAGAACCTGGCTGGAAGCTGTGAATAGAAGGATAGAAATCCAGGAAATGAAGAGAAGGAAAGTTCATCAGAAAGGTTTGAGACCACTGAAATAATATAAGGTCCTTAACACTGTGGTTTAGATGACTCAGATCAGGAACAGTGCTCATTTAGTACACATGTGCGAAATAGGCAGTAGAGTGAGTGAATGGTGGGTGGATTTGTACATATCTGGCATGGAATCCTTTTTTAACTTCTTTGGGCAAGTTTGCTTTATATTTTGTAAATTTTGATTTTTTTAGAGACAGAGTCTTGCTGATACCCACGCTAGAGGGCAGTAATATGATACTAGCTCATTGCAGCCTCAAACTCCTGGGCTCAAGTGATCCTCCTGCCTCAGCCTCCTGAGTAGCTAGGACTAGAGGGATGTGCCACCGTGACTGGTTAATTAAAAAAAATTTTTTTGGAGAGTTGGGATATTGCTTAATTGCCCAAACTGGTGTCTAACTCCTGGCCTCATGCTATCTTCCTGCCTCCACCTCCCACAGTGCTGGAAAGTTTGCTCATCTTTTTTTTTTTTTTTTTTTTTGAGTTGGAGTCTCACTCTTGTTGTGCAGGCTGGAGTGCAGTGACTTGCTTATGGCCACTACAGCCTCGACCTGCTGGGCTCTGGCGATCCCTCCACCTCAACCTTCCAAGTAGCCGGAGCTACAGGTGTGCGCTACCACACCTGGCTTATTTTTGATTTATTGTAGAGATGAGGTCTCACCATGTTGCCTGGGCTGGTCTCAAACCCACGAGCTCAGGCAATCCACTCTCCTCAGCCTCCCAAAGTGCTGGAATTACAGACTGAGCCACCAGGCCCAGCCTCAAGTATGTTTTATAAGTATGATCATACAATGCATATCCTTTTGGGGTTGACTTCATTCAGCATAATTCTCTGGAGATTCATTCAGGTTAATATATGTATCGATAGTACATTCTTGTTATTGCTAAATAGTGTTCCATGGTATGGATGTACCACACTTTGTTTAACCATTTACTCTTTTAAAGGGCATCTGGATTGTTTCCAGATTTTGGCTATTACGAAGAAAGCTGCTATAAAAATTTATGTACAGGTTTTTGTGTGAATATACATCTTTACTCCTCTTGAATATATGTCCAGGAGTACAATTGCTGGGTTACATGATTAGTTTTTTAAGAAAATGCCAAATCATTTGCTGGAGTGTCTGTACCATTTTGCATTCCCACCAGGACTGTATGAATGATCCAGTTTCATACATGGATTGCCAGCATTTGGTGTTTCACTGTTTTTTATTTTAGCCATTCTGATAGGTGTGCAGTGACAACTCATTGTGGTTTTAGTTTCCATTGCTCTGGTGGCTAATGTCTAATCTCTGTTCATGTGCTTTTTTGCCCTCTGCATGTCCTCTTGAAATGTCTTATTCATTTTCTAATTGAGTTTTTTTTTTTGAGTTCTGGATACTAGTCCTTTGGTGGATATGTGGATATGTGGTTTGCAAGTATTTTCTCCCACTCTGTAGCTTGACTATTTATCCTCTGAAAAGGGTCTTTCTCAAAACAAAAGTTTTAAATATTGATTTATCAATTTGTGTTTTTATGGATTGTGCATTTGATGTCAATTCTAGGAACTCTGCCTAGATCTAGGTCCAGAAGATTTTCTCCTGTGATTTTCTTTCTAAAGGTTTTATAACTTCATGTTTTGCATTTAAGTCTGTGACACATTTTGAATTAATTTTTATATAATATATGAGACTTAGGTCAAGGCCCGTTTCTTTTTGTCTTGAAATGTCTAGTTGCTCTAGCATTAATTGTTGAAAATGCTATCTTTGATCCATTAAGTTGCTTTTGCACGTTTGTGAAAAGTCACTTGGGCATGTTTGTGTTTCTGGGCTCTCAGTTCTGTTTATCTATTCATATATTTCTCTCTTTCCACCAATACCACATACTTGATTACTATGGCTATCTAATAAGTCTTAAAATTGGGTTTACTAATTTCTCTTACTATACTTTCTCTTTTCACAATTGTTTTAAATATGTTAGTTTCTTTACTTTTCCATATATATTTTAGAACAATCTTGTCAGTGTCTACAAAAAATGTCTTGCTGGGATTTTAATAGGAATTATTTAAAACTTGTATATTAGTTTAGTCTTTTTTTTTTTTTTGAGTTGGAGTCTCACTCTGTCACCCAGAGTAGAGTGCAGTGGCACGCGCCTGGTCACCGCAGCCTCGACCTGCTGGGCTCCGGCGATCCTTTCGCCTCAGCCTTCTAGGTAACTGGAACTACAGGCGTGCACTACCACGTCCAGCTAATTTTTGATTTTATGTAGAGATGAGGTCTTGCCAAGTTGCCCAGGCGGGTCCCGAACCCACGGGCTCCGGCAGTCCACTCACCTTAGCCTCCCAAAGCTCTGGGATTGCAGGTAGAGCCACCGAGCCTGGCTTAGTTTAGTCTTTATTGATACTCTGGAGCTTTGTTATTGGTTGATTGGTTGGTTTGAATATCCAGGTTTCCACTTGGCCTTCTCTCTTCTATCCTGGTATTGGAGTGCCTTATTACAGGGTGGAAGTCAAGCCTACCCCCTTGGCCTTTGTGGCTTGTCTGGGAGTGGGATTGCAGGTGTGTGTGTGTGTGTGTGTGTGTGTGTGTGTGTGTGTGTGTGTGTGTGTGTGTGTGTGTGTGTGTGTAGTGGAATTGCAGTTTTGTGTGTATGTGTGTGGCTTGTCTGGGAGTGGGATTGCAGTTTGTGTGTGTGTGTGTGTGTGTGTGTAGTGGGATTGCAGTTGTGTGTGTGTGTGTGTGTGTGTGTGTGTGTGTGTATGTAGTGGAATTGCAGTTTTTGTGTGTGTGTGTGTGTGTGTGTCCAGAGTAGAATGATTATTATCTAAAAGTTTTCTCTCTTCCTAGGTTGCCCTTTTTCTAGTTCTTTGACTTGAAAGCAGGCTTTTGTTGGGGGCTTTTATTGTCTGCATCTGTTTGCATTTCTGGATCGCTGTCTTCTTCAGTTCCAAATCTGGAGTATAGGAGACAAAAGAAAACTCAAGGAACTCGCCATTATGTTTCTTGGGTCCTGAGGTCTCTAACCGGTCTGCCGCCTTCTCTCTCTCTCTCAAGGTCTTTTTATGTTTGTTTTATATATAAGCCCAAAGTTTTAGTTGTATTTTGCTGAGAAGATAGGTAAGGTATGTTTACTCTGTTGTCTAGAACCTGTGTTCACATTTTCTTGTTTTTAATTATAAAGATTTTGAATGTTCAGAAAGGCCAACTAGGATAATGAACATCAACACACTTATTTTCTAGATTTAAAAGTTGTAAATGTTTTCATGTCTTCATTTTTTTCAAAGGTGTTTGAAAGTAAATTATAGACATTGCAACATTTCACTTTAAAATATTCAATATGCATCTCTAAAAAATATGCATCAATATGCACCTCTAAAAAATAAAACTTTCAAACATAAGGACAGACCTTTCTAATGATTCCCAAATGACTTATAGCTGGATAGACAAAGTTAGAACCAATCAAGAACATGAATTGCATTCATTTGTTAGGCTTTTAAGTTTCCTTTAATCTTAAACAGTTCCTCTTCTACTTTTTTTTCCCATGTTATTGATTTAAGAAATAGTTTTCATTGAATCTTGGAATGTCCCACTATCAGTAGGATTTATCCGATTGTTTCCTCGTGTTTCTGTATCTTCTGTGTTTTCTATATACTTGAAGCTGGAATTAAAGCCTTGATTAAATTCAAGTTTGGTGAGATTATTTCATAGATAATGCTATGTTAAGCAGGTTTTCATGAGCCTGTGTTGTTCATAACTTTTTTTTATGTGATAGAGAAGATGCCTTCTGCATCCTGTGATACACTTCTGGATGACATTGAAGATATTGTGTCTCGGGAAGATTCAAAGCCACAAGATAGGCATTTTTCAAGAAAGCATGTTGTTCCAAAAGTACGAAGGCGAAATACCCAAAAATATTTGCAAGAGGAAAACAGTCCACCGAGTGATAGGTAAGCTTTTCTCCTTGAAATTATATTCATTTTCATTACAAGGGAGATGCTGGCACTGCTGGTCTCTGTGTTGTACAGTGTCTCTTTTTTAGAATCTTTGAACTTTTGATAATAATTATAGATTGAGTGCCCCTTATCTGAAATATTGGGACCAGAAGTGTTTTGGTTCAGATTTTTTAAGAATACTTCCATTATATACTTACCAGTTGAGCATTCCTAATCTGAAAATCCAAAATGATATAATGAGCATTTCCTTTGAGTATCATTTCGAAGCTCAAAAAGTTTTGGATTTTGAACCATTGTGGATTTCAGATTTTTGGATTAGGGTTACTCAGCCTGTATATAGAGTTTTTAAAAATTTATGTGAATGGTTTTAAATTTGGTGAGGTAATTAGTAAAAAAAGAAAAAGATGTCAGATCATATATTCCTTGAAGGCAGGGCCTAGGACAATAGGAATCTTTTTGATATTAGTGTAGTTGGTATGTAACTCTGTAATACTTCCAAATAAAATTTTTCCTGGAATCCATGGTTCTTATGGAACAGTGGTGCTTTGGACATTTGATTTTTTTTTTTAAAAGCTAATTAAATAACTTAAAAAGTTAGAGACAGGATCTCGCTATGTTGTCTCGGCTAGAGTGCAGTGGCTATTCACAGTTGTGATCAGAGTGTACCACAGCCTCTAATTACTGGTCTCTGACCTGAAGCCATCCTCCCAAGTTGTTGGGACTACAGCTGTGCACCACTTTGCCTGGCTTTGGGCGTATGATTTTTTTAGGAAACGTACAAATACCTGTGAATTAGCTGAGGCTCTGGGCACAAAGACATCTTTGCCCTACCTATTACACTATTGTAATAGGTCTTTAGTCAATGAAATTCTAATACAGCCTAGCCAGAAAGGATTATGTGGTTGTATAGTTTTAATAAGCCTATATTTATTTAGTAGATTGTTGAAAGTTTTAATATACTTTTGTTTAGAACATTAAGCCTTTAAAATATCTGAAATTAAAATTTGCTTATATTTTAATAACTGAAGTTTATCAAATTTGTCCTGAAGGAGTCCCTAAGGTGATTTCTTTCTACTTATAAATTATTAGAGCAATCCAAGTTGAAGGTTCTTCTTTTTTTCCTAAAAATATTACATTGTTTTAGAACTCTTTTTATAGAGTACTTAGAATGATTCCTTAAGGTGACAGTTTTTAATTTTGATTGTTATTATACCTGTATGCTTTAAAGTATAAGGGGAACCCCCAAAAAAAAAAAAAAAACAATTATTTTTTGATGAGCGGGCCCTTTGTGGTACAGGCTTTTCCCACTAGGTAGTTATTCTAGGGACCCATTGGCATTGGTATACTAGCTAGTGTTGTTGTGAGGGACTGTGTTTGGCTTCAGTGAATTTTTTTGGAGATTCTTTCAGTGTGTGCCATTTCATGATGGGTGATTTACGAGTGCATGTGCCCACACTATCCTGAGTGTTCAGCAGCTTTTGACCAAAAATGGCATGATCCTCATGCCCCATCCTCACCTGATCTCACACCAAGGGACTTTTTTGTTTCCCCGGATGAAAAAAGTCCTCAAAGGGAAACGCTTTGCTGATATGGAAGAGGTAAAACAACAGTGGCAGAAACATTAAAAGGCATCAAAATTGACAAGTTCAGAAACTGTTTTGAGCAGTGGAAAAAGCATTTTGATAGGTGTATTGCATCAAACGAAGAGTTCTTTGAGATGACTGAAGTTTAAACATGTAAGACTAAATATACACTTTTAAATAAATAAATACCAGTTTTTTTGGGGTTCCCCTGTGTAGATTTTGAATTATTTTGGTACGTTTAATGAATAGCTTGTATATCAATTGCGGTGTTTGTTTTTGCATAATGCTCCCTGAAATCGTCTAGTAGTTTTTATTTTAAAAATCCCTCAATGAGACTACTTTTTTTTTAATTGATTGTTTGACAGCACTATTCCAGGCATACAAAAAATTTGGATACGAACATGGGGTTGTTCTCATAATAATTCAGATGGAGAATATATGGCTGGACAACTAGCTGCTTATGGCTATAAAATTACAGGTAATGAGATCTATAATATATTTAATTGATTAAATTTTTCATAGTTAAATCTTTTGGAGATATGTATCCTAGTTTTAGCAATTAAAGGATATTTTAGCATAGCATAATGATTTTAAGGCATAACAGTGATAGCTATTATTATACACTGCCTAGATAAACATGGATGTCATATTTTAAAACAACTTTAAAAAACTTTTTATTTTACAATAAGGTTAGACTTTCAGAAAAGTAGCATAATTGCAGAGTGTTCACTTAAGCTCTTCAGTCAGCTTCCCCTGATATTAGCATCTTTTATAATTGTAATATAGTTAGTAAACAAGGCAATGTACACTAGTACAATACTGTTATCTAAGCTATAGATCTTATTTAAATTTTACCAGTTTTCCCGTTAACTTCCTTCTTCTGTTCCAGGATCCAGTCTAGAATCCCACCTTACATTTAGTTGTCATATCCACTTAATCTCCTCCAATCTGTGACATTTCCTCAGTTTTTTCTTGTTTTCTGTGACTTTGACACTTCTGAAGAAAATGATTTGTTATTGTGTAGAATGTCCCTCAACTTGAATTTGTCTGTTTTCTGATGGGTAAAATCAGGTTTTGCATTTTTGGCAAGAAGAGGGCAACAGTGGTATTATGTTATTGTTTTTCTCATGATAGCTAATAAATATCCTGTTTCTTTTCAACCTTTTGCCTGCTGATTGTAGTATCCATTGATGAATATTGTCTGCAGCAGTTACTACTGTGGTGTTTCCTTAATGGTGATTGTCTGCTTTCTTCTCTTCTTTACGTTTATTAATTGAAGTTCTTCTACAGGGAAGAGCTGTCCATTTTCTCCCATTTTAGTTATTTATGTCAGTATAGACTCAAGGAGACTATTCCGTGGGATATAATCTAATGCTATCCTTATTTATTGTGCTCCTTATATTGTTCAAACTTTGACCACTGTTAGGAACTTGTTCAGACTGGCACCTGTGTTTTTTCGACATGCCCCACGTCCTTTTTAGAGAAGTTCCTTATTTTCTGGCACCACAAGATGTTTTAATCTCATATTTTCCCTTCCCCAGCCTTGGAAGCAACCACTTTTCCAAGCAGTTCTTAGTGTCGTCATTAAGAGGATGGCATTTTGAAATAGTTCTGGGCAGTAAGTGTGCTTGCTTGTTGCTATTGTGAGGTGTCGACACTTCTAGGTCCTCTCAGTGGCTAGAGCTAGGAATTATGTGGGTACACTAACTGACACAGAGCTGTATCTATTTCAGTATCTGTCTGTATATTAAATTGGACCATAATTTGAATGCTTTGGTGACAGACTGACCCAGTACTTTATATATGTTATCTTACTTAGTCCTAGAGTAGGAAGAAATATTGGCTTTACAGTTGAGGAAGGAAAGATTGTTTCTCACCTTAAATCACACGGGCAGTGAAGTCTGTTACTTTTGTACACTGCTCCTGTACCTCTGTTCTGCACCTGACAGTTGCCTTTGCATATGTAATTGGCAAGTCCTAGCTATAAGATAGCATGGGGAGGATTAAGGGGGACTGGAAATTTATTCCTTGCATTGTACATTTTCTTGTGGTAACTAAAAGACTATGTTATTCTGGTTTTTTACTTGGGAGTGGTTTTGTGTTTTTGTTAATCATTTTTTAGGTGGTAAAAGCAGTCTTAACACTTTTGTCATTTAAGTTAAAAATACTGAAAATATGCTTTCACAATTACTTTTCCTATCCTCATTAATAATTTTCAGTATAATTTAGCCTGGGTTTGCCTTAATATGTTCTGATGTTGTAGTTTGAATATTAAGCAAAGAGCATTTGGCTGGCCATGGTGGCACACCTATAATCCCTGCACTTTGGGAGGCTGAGGCAGGAGGATTGCTTTAGGTCAGGAGTTTGAGACCAGCCTGGGCAACATGGCAAGACCTTGTCTTTATTTAAAAAAAAAAAAGAGCTTTTATTTATTTATTTTTTAGAGATAAGGTCTTACTATGTTGTCCAGGCTGGCCTCTAACTCCTGGGGTCAAGCCACCCTGCATCAGCCTCTCTCTTGAGTAGCTGGGACTATAGGTATGTGACTGGCTAGGAGAATAGCCTTAAAAAAATACGAATTTTAAAGATTATTTCCTAAAACATTAAAAAAAGGTGTTGACTTTTCCTACATGCTGTTAAATATCAAATACATTTTAATTGATATTTTAGTGCATTCATGGTTTGTGTTTGTTCTTAAACAGTACACAGTCCTGATATGTTTACACAAGAATATGAAACTTATGCACACCTAGTTTTGACTTTTCACTTGGGAGTGGTTAAAAAGGTAGACTTGCTGGACATGGATGTTTCATGCCTATAATCCCTGCCCTTTGGAAGGCCAAGGTTGGAGGATTGCTTGAGCCCAGGAGTTTGAGACCAGCTTGGACAACACAGTGATACCTCGTCTCTACAAAAACATAAAAAACAAAATTAGCTGGGCGTGGTGGTGTGGGCCTGTAGCTCCAGATAGTTGGGAGGCTGAGGAGGAAGGATTGCCTGAACCTAGGAGGTTGAGGCTGCAGTGACCTGTGATGGTGCCACTATACTCCAGCTTGGGTGATGGAGTGAGATCTTGACTCAAAAATCCAAAAAAAATAAAAAGGAAAAATTAAGGAAGCAATTACTTGAATATAAAATTTATTTTTTGCTAATGTGATGTGTTACTTTTGTATACATATATTTGTATTAATTTTATATACTGTTGATTGTCCCTGCGGTAGAAATTCAGTCAGCTTTTAATTCTAACCTGGCTTTCATGCAGCAGACCATAGAACCACTTTCTTTACTAGTCTAGGTATTATATGCCTGTAAGTATTCACAGTATTAGCTTCTGTAAGACATTTACGAAAGAAATCTTTATAGATCTTTTATTTAGATTAGAGATATGATATGAATGAACTCTGAATTCCCTATGTCACTATTTTCTTTCATTATTATGGAATAATGGTAGTTTATAGAAATTATTATTGTTTAATTACTTATAATGTTTTTGTTAATCAAATGTAGACCTAGAATATTAAATGTATAATTGATGTAAAATAGGCATATCATATAGATTATATGTAATATATAAAGTGATTATTGAAAACAGTATGCAGATAAATCAAAATTAGCTCTCAATTATGTTATAGGTATTTTTATTATTTGGGGCAGAAAGATTTTGTGATTATATATTTGAAATTGCTGCTTTCTTTTTTTTTTTCACCCTATGATACTTGTTTATTTTATTTTACTTTTTTATTTTAAAGATGTGGGGTACAATTCAGGATTAGGTATACAAGGAATCATTGTACATTGTATTATGGTAATGTTCTGGGTCTGCTTATGAGTGAGAACATGTGGTGCTCATTTCTTTGTTTCTGTGATAGGTCACTGAGTACGATAGACTCTAAATCTATCCAAGTTGCTGTGAAGTTCATATGTTTGTCCTTCTTTATGGCTGCATAATATTCCATTGTATATATCTACCATATTTTTTTCTCCAGTCCAGCTTTGATGGGCAACACCATTGGTTCCATGTTTTTGCTATTGTGAATAGTGCTGCAGTAAACATGCATGTGCAGGTATCTTTTTTGTAGAATGATCTGAGTTCCTCTGGGTATATTCCCAATAGGGGGATTGCTGTGTCAAATGGAAGGTCAATATCTGGTTCTTTTAGAAATTGCCTGTGTTTTCCAAAGGGTTGCACTAGTTTGCATTTGCCCCAGCAGTGTAGAAGTGTTCCTTTTTCTCCGCATCCTCACCAGCATCTGTTGTTTGTTTTATTGATGGCCATTCTTACTGGGGTTAGGTGGTAGCTCATTGTGGTTTTTTTTTTTTTTTTGAGTTGGAGTCTCATTCTGTCACCCAGACTGGAGTGCAGTGGCCTCTCTTGGCCACCGCAGCCTCGACCTGCTGGGCTCCGGCGATCCTTCCGCCTCAGCCTTCCAAGTAGCTGGAACTACAGGCGTGTGCTACCATGCCTGGCTTATTTTTTGATTTATTGTAGAGATGATGAGGTCTCGCCAAGTTGCCCAGGTGGGTCTCGAACCCGCGGGCTCAGGCACTTCACTCACCTCAGCCTCCCAAAGGTGCGGGATTACAGGCTGAGCCACTGAGCCCGGCTTCAATGTGGTTTTGATTTGCATTTCTCTGATGATGAGTGAGGCTGAGCACTTTTTTGCGTGTCTGTTGGCTGCCTGTATATCTTCTTTAGAGAAATGTCTATTCGTGTCTTTTGCCCACTTTTTATTTATTTATTTATTTAAAGTGAGGAAGCAGGATTTATTGAGAGGACAGAAAACTCCCATAGTGGAGGGGACCCGAGGGGGTTGCCCACTTTTTAATGGGGCTGTTTTTTTTTTCCTTTGGCATGTTTGAGTTCCTTGTAGATCCTGGATGTTAGGCCTTTGGCAGATATACAGATGGCAAATATTTTTTTCCCATTCTGTGGGCTGTCTTCTCACTCTCTTGATGATTTCTTATGCTTTGCAGAAGCTTTTCAGTTTAATGAGGTCCCACTTGTCTATCTTATGGCATGGGCACTTGGGGTTTTGATCAGGAATTGGTTCCAATTTCCTTAGGGATGTTTTCTGCATTTTCTAAGGTTCTTATAGTTTGAGGTTTTATGTTTAGGTCTTCGATCCATTTAGAGTTGATTTTTGTGTATGGTGATAGTTAGGGGTCCTGTTTCAGTCTTCTGCATGTGGTCAGTCAGTTTTCCCAGCACCATTTACTGAATAGGTTCTCCTCTCCCCAGTGGTTGTTGGTGGAGGTTTTGTCGAAGATCAGTTGGTTGAGAAATTGAGGTTTTGCTTCTGGAATCTCTATTCTGTTCCATTGATCCATATGCCTATTCTTATACCAATACGAAATTGCTGCTTTTAACTATGTGAATCCAGGATATAATTATTCCATAGTAAAACTTCATAAAGACTCAGAGCAGTTAGCTGTTTTTCATTACCTCTTTTCAAACCCTGTTTATTTTGAAAGAAAATG